TGTCTCCGTGGTCCCTATCGCTAGTGATCTGTATTTAAATCTCGGCCATTTGGTTACAATCCTTTGCATCATGTGAGTTAGCACTTAGCAATTCACCTCTTACCGTTTAAAGGTAGTGTGCCAGCTTTCTTGGACCGTATGGAGTTAATGGCCCAGATAAGGAGAACCGGATTTTTAGAACTTATCCATACCTTCAAAACTCATGGAAACGTCTTAAATTATTCAAATTTTGAGTACCCCAGTGCGAAATTCGCCCCGACGGGTTGTCGGTCGTACCCCAACCACATTTCACACCACTATGAACAATAAATGCACACACTGAAATCGCTATTACCGATATGCTCATCCAATCAAGTTTCGATAAACCCGTTCATCATCAGCTCCTGCGGTTTCGAACACGCCTGTTAGTTGGCTTCTGATGCTCGTCGAGGTCGGAATTTCCAAATACGCGTGGTGCGTCGGGCCGCGCGCTCTGACTTCGGCCAAGAAAAATGCGTCAGCTGATCATTGTCATTTCTGCCACTTACGTGTGGTGAAATGGGGTCATAACTTATAAGACGGCTTTTTCATATCAATTATTTTACATAAAATCATATTTCAAACCATAAATAATGTTCGACAGCCAAATAAAAGAAACAATACCAATACGGGCTTACAGTTTAAGGCTCGACATTGTGTTGTCTACGATTAGACAGCTGATAACTCATTCCCGTACGTCGTATGGTCGTAACACTATAATGACCTTTGCTTATTGTCACAAGTGCGCCGCATTCGCGATTGTTGCCCGACGCCTGTTTGCAGGTGAGCCCACTACAGTTGTTATACATATCTAAAAACCGATAAACTTTTAGGCGAAAAAGGCACTATTCCAGGCCCATTTTTGATTTTTTTTTTTGCGATATTAGGTAAAAACAGAAGCTTCTTATCCTAGGAAAAATAAAATGGGAAATCTTTCAAAGGTGGCACACTACCTTTAAATCAACTTGGGCCGTCTGCGTGCGCCAGTTGATCTACACAGAACACTTGGCGTACAGCTATTCGGGGATAACATAACTATCGGAAAAAATGTTTTTTTTTTGTCTATTGAATACCGTCATTTGAACAACATGAGACAGATGAAATAATACGAGTATTTACCTACATTCTGGCCGAACAATTTATTTTATGGCCATTAGTATACCACCAGAGCTGTTCTTCACGCGACAAGAATTGATCTGAAGACTACATCGAGTTCGTTTCAATGTTTTGTTTTACGCTATAATAAATAATTATATGTCCATTTGGTAAAAGTTTGCACGTATCGTGAATGTAGACTCAGATCAATACAATAACGGTACAATTCCGGTCGCTCAGGTCAGCGGCCTCTGCAAACATCCAATCTGGGCTTCCATTCAAGCTCGCGAGTCGCGATCGTCGCGATCGACATCTGACTGCTCTGGCCGCGTCAATGGCCGGTATTCTGGTCGGCGCTGCCTCAGCCTCTGCTGACGTCATTTGCTGACGTCACTGGTGCGCACCTGAGGTCACGCAAACGGCGACCGGGGTGACCGATCGATGGCCGGCGGCCGAACCGCGCGACCTTGACGTGCGCCGGCAGACCTTGGATCGCACCCGAACGTCCTTGGCGGCCGCTCGGACGGCCTTGCCAGCGGCGATGTGGGTCGCGCTCTCGGTGGGTGGCCTTATTTACCGGCAGAACAGACGCCCCCGCATCCTCCGCGCCGGCCGAGAGGAGAGGCACGCACCGATAGTTGCCATCTCCCCACCTTCGCAAACGCTGCGGTGTCAAGGTCATCCATCGCCCCCGGCGGCGCAGTACGTGTCGAGCGTCCGGCGCTGGACGAGTTCATCTTCCGCCCCCCGTGCTGCCTCCCCCGGCGACCCACAGTGGACTCTCCCGCCCCCACCACCACGCACACACTACCTCCCCTCGACCAGAGAATAGCTCCGTCCAATGTCTGTGATCTAGGATTTCTCGTCGTTTTTTCCTCCCCGTCGGAGGCTGGCGCGGGGTGGGGCGGGGGAGGGACGGTCTGGGCTCAGTGGAGGGTCGTTGCGGCAGGTCACGGCAGGTCGATAGAGGAGCAGTGCGCAGGCGTGGCCCCGTGCTCCGGTCAGAGGCGCCGCACTGAGCCACCTGCCGGTCACCAAGGAGGTCGGCAGCACGGGGTGCGGGTCGGACCCGCGCGCAGTGGAGGGTCGCCGGAGAGGTGACACGATGGGAGACTCATGAGGAACTGGGCGGCAGGAGATGTGAACAACTGAGGGAAGATACTCACCTGTTCGGTCTTATGGGCCTGTGGAGGACAGCATCGATATCGATGGTGCTAGTGATGATACTCATGGTAGACGTGCCCTTTGGTCGGCTGGATAGGTCTGACGATAAAACGTAAAAAAAGCTGGTGAAAATAGGTATGGATCACAGACTTCTACCAATTCATAAGAATTGACACTTAACCCTCTGCTATCGCAGCTAATTCAAAACCTGATGAGATATCCCCCGCCATTTACATAGTGAAGGGGTGAACTACAGGGTGATTTTTTTTAACTGTTAAAAAGTAAATGTCAATGGTGGTCCCTAAATCGAAAAATCGCGTGCAAAAAAGTAATGCACGTGATAGATAAATCTGGGACATTTTGTATGGTGTCCTGATTTGTCCCTTTTAACCGAAGGCCTCGGCCCCAATGGTGCCTGAAAATGTCCCACCAATCGGGCACGCATGGTCCACCGCCGTTCAGTAAGGAACGACACAAACGATGATTTTGAAGCATTGAGGCAGTTCGAATCATGCGATCATCGAGGAGATATCCCAGAAAGACGTTCAATAATGCACGAACAAGCTTGCAGTCATAAATAACCTTCAAACGGTCCATCTGGCGTATGTGCAGCCTCTGAAGAATCAGTCTTCAGGGAGAAAGAAAAACAGCGAATCAGACACCACCAGGGCCGCCAGTATCGAAATCCTCGACCTGCCCTTCATATACTTCTAGTTTTTGGACCCAGCTATGGCAGATATAACAAGAAAACATTGGAAATATCTGGCAGAGCTAAAACTGGGTGATAGGAGCCTTTTCAGTCCGCCTAAAGGGTCTAGGAGTCCACGGTGCTGTTCAACACGTGCTCAAGCGGGCTGATTCGTGTCGGTGAGAGAGGGGGCAACTTCAAGCACAAGTAAAATACACGACGGACGTTCCTTCACATCTTGTCTGCATGAAATCAAAATGTCCCAGAATGCTTGTCATCCTGGTATATAATTTTGCAATATATATTTATATTTTAATGCCATTAGACCTCATTACTTTTTAACAAGTAAAAAAAATCACCCTGTATAGGTAGGCATTTTCTCACTGCAAGCTATCGATTGAGGTCGAAGGAGTTATGAATACAAAAAGGAATAAGGGAGCCGGGTGGAGAAGGAATGGGAGAGGAGAAGTAAGAAGAAGGGGCAATAAAGAGGGAGGGAGGCAGAGATGAAGATGAAGAAGGGGCAATAAAGAGGGAGGGAGGCAGAGATGAAGAGGCAAGAGTGGAGAAACTAGATAAAAAGAGAGGAGGGATCTAACGGCGAGGAGAGAAACCCGCAAGCTTCCCTAATCCCTCCTCTGTAATAATGATCTCTTAAGCTAGCACTGTTTGCATTTGCGTGAAATCTCGTTTCCATTTTCCATTTTAGCTGCATAGAATAACAAATACCTAATTGCAAAAAGAGAAAAACGCAAATACTTAACCGCCGCTGTTCTACTAAAGCCACTTTGTGGAGGGAAACTAATGGAAGAGACAACTTTGATTGGGCCCGCATTTTTTCAGGAACGGCATTCCATCTAAGAAACTTTCTCACGGTGTGTGTTCTTCATTTTCTGATGCTTAATTGTGTCTGTGCAAACAATGCCTGAACGTTATTACTGCAATGTAATGAATATGAAGTGAGCGGGGCATGAAATTAATGCCACATGAATTAATTGAATTTGCGCTCTTTTACACACATTTATGTCACATTGCGCTCGATGAAATCAGCAACGATGTCATTTTTATCAAGCTGAAATTAAGACGAGGGACACGGTGTTCCCGTTTTGGGTGAAAGTGGCTCGCACGCGGCTGCGTTGTGGCAAATTCACACGCAATTTTCTCGGAAGGCTGGCAAGGTAATTACGAACTGATATTGAAGTCGTGAGCTGTTGCTTTGGACAAAGGGTCGGAAGGCACGGGTGGGGCGGGCGCCATTGCCCCGGAACGGAAACGTGGTAAATGATTCTCGCCAAAACACACATCACATCTTAGTCAACTGCTGTAGAACTCATGTAATGGACATAAGACATGATGTTAGCGATAGGCAGCTAATTTGTTTTACAGTCACTTAAAGTCGCGGTCTGACGCGCTATGTTGCACATGTTCCATGTATGCTCGACTTATTGAGTTGGTTCAGAAACAGTGCAGCTTCGCGTTTTACGAGTCTAATTTTCTTTTGGCGCTTAAAACTGACAGGCCGCTACTTTTTTAACATTCGATGTTCTCACTGTTCATAGGATTGGGCCATGTCTACAATGCGAGTGGCTGAGATCCTTTGACGCTGTCGGATGGCTTACTTACCGACGACCCCTTGAATAATTCTGGGCAGCGCAAGCCGTTTTTCATAGTGAAAGTATAAGTAATTTGTTTTGTCTTCTCATGCTCCTCCTCCTCTTCCTCCCCTTTTTTCTCTCTCCCTCTTTCTCTCTCTCTCGCTTCCTCTCTCTCTCTCTTCCTCTCTCTCCCTCTTTCTCTCATTCTTTCTGTATTTCCTTCGAGGTTGGCCAAACGCTTTGGTAATAATGCTGACAGGCAAATAAGCATCAGCATCAGCGTAGTAGGTTTTCCGAAAAAAAGCTGAAGCACCTCTTCACTTTTTCGAACATAAATTAACGTTTAAGGCTATGCTACTTATGGTACGCTAAACGAATTCACAAAGAGACAAGCGATAGTCGATAGCAAAGCATGGAATTATCTATATCTTTCTTTTCAGAGATTTGAAGATGGAAAACATTATGCTGAACTCTACCAAAGATGTTCTAAAAATTGTTGGTAAGTACTAGCGTGAGAGCGCCGTTGGTCCGTAAACATTTTGTTTTGGAGCCTCTAATTGCCGTTTGTTTGGATGTTCTGACTATTCACGTATATGAATGCCTCTAATTAAGGTAAATGATTCACATAGTTAACACATCAGGTCAGCAAATGACACAGTCTTCTTAAAGGGACCCTCCCACCTTAACATTAGATTTGAGTTGAGATAGCCAAAATGGGGTCCCTGGCTCACAATTACCGGTTTCGGCACTCACAACATCGAGAAATGCCTTAAATCGGAAATATTGAATTTCAAAATTGCAGCATTTTGATTCAGAGGGGCTAATGCTTAGGAATTCCCCTCTGAATGTGTGACGTCAGCGCAAATATCTAACGATTTTTAAATGTTTGACTAAAACGTCTTGTAGCACGCGGTGGTATATGCTATTTGCGCGCAACATCTGCCGCAAACGCCGCACTTCTAAAATAAAGTCGCTAGAAACAGCGGAGATCCCAAAAAAGTAAACAAAAGTAAAAGTCTAATATCTTGAAAACCGGTGAATATTTTCCGGTGAAATTTGGTAGATATTCGTTTTCGCTCTTTGTGAACCGAGCGACATCACTTTCATGCCAATTCATAAACTTTTTTGAAGGTGGGAGGGTCCCTTTAACTTTTGAGAGATAAAAGGGGTATGATCATATAATCCACAATTTTCTTCCGCATAGCCTCGGTAAATTGCTCAAGACTCTTATGCTGCTTACTATAAAATGTGTTTCCTTCCTGAAGCAGCTAGACTTTTCTGCATTCCATCCCCCTTCATTTTACACGCAAAAGCGGTCAAGTATTTTTAGTTTCATTTAACATTTTGTTACCATTGCTTATGGCAAGTAGTTCGTATGCTGCTAATATACCCTTTTTTGAACCCGGTGGCAAATGGGTTCAACAAATGTAACAACAGACCACCATTATTAGAACAGCAATCCCAGCTCCTCAGGCCGACACTGCGGCGTGGTTATGAGACTCTGCGCCCTCGGCCACTCGGCGACCACAATGGAGCAGTCACAACCGCCAAACGCGCGCTCTAAAGCACTCAAACGGCGTCGTTTTGCCTGGCTTTCATCCATTTGCGGCGTCATTCTTAACAACAAATTTCTGCCTCGGTAATTGTCACGCGTTTAGCATAATGCGTAATCGCTGGCCGGCCGTTATATTTTACCCGGGGTCCCAGCTCGTTAAACTCGTTAAAAGACGTTAATGCAGATAGCAGCATATTACATGGCGACCGACACCCGACTGCGGTCCAAACGAGCCCATTCTGGGGCGTGCAGCACCATTGTCGGTGGATTATTCTGCGGCCGCGTTACCACGAGCTGAGTTATCCACCGAGTTCAGTTACCGCTGCCGGCTGAGTTAGCGTGGGGAAGGTCGGCAGCACCACCGGGTGCCGTCCCCACCTATGTGGAATTGCTTCATTTTTCAGAGGCAATCTCCGTTATCATCATTAATTGGCGAAACTGTGTGATACGGACTCTGATCGTGAATCGGACGAGTAACGCTCAGACCCACGCCATGTAATGCACTTTTACATCCTCGTAATTAAAGTATAAATTCCCGGAAGAGATTCCCATAAACGTTGTCGCAAGTTTGCAGATGGATGAGCTGGGCAGAGCAAGAGGCGGTTCATGAGGCCGCACGTTCCCGCGGTGATTTTGTAAAGTTTCAGAGTCGACAGCTAGGAGGGCCATGCGGAACATGGACGCCCGTTTAGCGTGCGCCTGTATTTCTGATCAGCGTGTCAGTTTTCCCCAGGGTAGCTCGCAGTCCCAACTGAAACGTACTACATGAGATCGGAAACTGAAAGGTGCACTGCGCAGCCAATATTGAGACTGGGATGGCAGAGTTGGTCAGTACGTTAATGCCTATAATATAATGCTTACGAGTGTTTACTTGCTTAATTACAGTAACAGTATCACCATAATTGACTTGGACTTACCCTTTTCACGAGCACAATTAATGGCATGCATAAGTTGCAGGAGCCCATATCATATGTTTAAGTTATCGTGTACTCACAGCGCTAACTTTATTGCTATTTTTGGATAATTATTTGCTATTATTCTTCTATGTATGTCCTTAGGCTTGTTTAAGCATTCATGTTTATTTGTTTTCTACATAATATGCCAAAATTGCATGCCGTGCCTTATTATCATGGCATAAATTACCGTTGCAATTAAAAGCAAATTATTCTGCCACATATTTTACCGCCATTTAATGGGACGCGTGGCTGGTGTTCTGTACTTTTTTGCCAGCACCGACGTGACATTTTTCACTAAATAATCGCTAATCTAATTGCACTGCTATAATGTTAGTCTTAGGCTCAATGTCATTACTACATTTTATTTAAAATTCACCGAACTATGGAATATTATTACAAAATGCACAATTGGTATGCACATTGCAAGCAACGCACATACATTATATCGTATTTATTTATTACCCATTTGCATAATCTTTCCAATGCTCAACTTCTACATACAAGTCTCCTAACACAGTCTTTCTCTCAATCTAATCCACCGTTGACGCTGGCTAGTACCTACCTGTTCTCCTGTTCCTCCCCAGACTTTGGCCTGAGTAACTGCTGGTCGCCGGAGAACCCGCTCAAGAGCCACTGCGGCTCCCCCGAATACGCCGCTCCCGAGCTGTTCGTAGTCGGAAGGACATACGGGCCAGAGATCGACGTCTGGAGCATGTACGTGACGTGGAAGGGACGTGAGAGGGACGTGGGAATGGTGTAGGGGCGACGAGGAGGGTGGATGCTGTCAGTATGGGAAAGGACATGACAGGGTTTGGGAGGACCGCGTTGGACGTGAGCCAGGTGAACCTGGGAAGCGTGGCAAAGACGTGGGGGGACATGGTGGGCCTGGGAGGAATAGGATGGGTGAGAAAGACTTGACGGATCAGTTGGGGAACTGGCAGCGCGGTGGGGAAGTGTCACTCGGGTCAGTCGGATGTCAACGGAGGAGCCTAGCTGGGACTTGACCTTAATAATCGCACTGGTTTGGCTAGTTCATATTTCGTAGGATATTTTTTGGTGCAGGATTTATGTTCAATTGTATTTTTATGAATTCGTAATATTCACATAGTATTTCCTTTGATGTGGGTTTTGTTGCATGTTTGCAGCATACCATCCATCAGCGCGTTAAATTAAATATTTAATTGTTTTAATTACACGGGACTGATAAGTGATTACCCAGGAGCCAGTCATTGTTTATGTTATCCATGTTGGCCAAGTCTGTTTATGTGGGACCGTTTGCTGTTGCCGGATTCTCACACAGTCTGGGTGCGTATTATTTAGGCCAGGGTTCATAATGTCCAGGGCACAATGTGTCCAGTGCTCGAATTGGCCAGTGCCTTGAATTGGCCAGTGTTCACATTGTCCAGGGATTACATGGTCCAAAAGTGGCCAACTGGCTGCAGATAGGGTAAATTCAAAGAGGCCAGGGTTCATAATGTCCAGGGCACGATGTGTCCAGTGTTCAAAATGGCCAGGGCTCATAATGTCCAGGGCACGATGTGTCCAGTGTTCGAAATGGCCAGGGTTCATAATGTCCAGGGCACGATGTGTCCAGTGTTCAAAATGGCCAGTGCCTTGAATGGGCCAGAGTTCATAGTGTCCAGGAATTACATAGTCAACCCAACCCAACCAAACCTAACTTAATCTAACCTAACCTAACCTAACCTAACCTAACCTAACCTAACCTAACCTAACCTAACCTAACCTAACCTAACCTAACCTAACCTAACCTAACCTAACCTAACCTAACCTAACCTAACCTAAGGTAATGATGTTTGCCTACCAGGGATAAGGAAATAGTTTCTCGCATGAATAGATTGCAAGCAATAGTAAATCAAATATTTTTAGGTTAAGTGGTTATGCATCAGGCTTCAGGCCTTCGGCCTGAAGCCAGATACATAACCACTTAACCTAAAAATATTTGATTTACTATTGCCTGTAATCTCTCCTAAGGCATTGCCTTCGGCACTGCACTGCTTTGCATTGAGCTGATTCCGTGTTTTTTACATAATGACGTCACTTTCAGTGACTATGTAATCCCTGGACATTATGAACTCTGGCCCATTCAAGGCACTGGCCATTTTGAACACTGGACACATCGTGCCCTGGACATTATGAACCCTGGCCATTTCGAATACTGGACACATCGTGCCCTGGACATTATGAACCCTGGCCATTTTGAATACTGGACACATCGTGCCCTGGACATTATGAACCCTGGCCTCTTTGAATATACCCTATCTGCAGCCAGTTGGCCACATTTGGACCATGCAATCCCTGGACATTATGAACTCTGGCCCATTCAAGGCACTGGCCATTTTGACACTGGGCATAGCGTACCCTGGACATTATGAACCCTGGCCAGAATGAATGCTCCCCCACAGTCTCACCCAAGTGTCGTGAACAGAGCTAACACGTGTTTGCTGAGGGTTATAATAAGCAATGTTATTCCATATTTGACACCAGCTATTTTTATATTTATCTAGGCCGCAAACGCTGCCGGTGACGGTCAGTTAGGAGTAGCCACTGTGGTCTATAACCGCCCGGTGTTCCGACACGTGTTTCAGGGGCGTGGTGTTTTACGTGCTGGTGGTGGGTCGGCTGCCGTTCCTCTCCTCCAAACAGGAGGGCCTGACCCACCAGGAGCGCCGGGACCGGCTGATCGCGCACATCAACCAGGGACTGGGCGGCACACACCGCTCCGACATGAAACACCTCGGATCGGGTGGGTGACGAGCCCACAGACAGACTTAGAACAAGTCGACCCGGTGGGATATGATGTTTGGCAAGGCAAATACACGAGTCATAGGGGCAAGAATGCAGCTCATATACCTCGATGCGTCCATGCTTATCTAGTTATGAGTGGTATGGTTGTCTGATTATAAACGAATCCACATGCTGATTTATTTCATGTTATAAAGCTCTGTACGGCCGTACGCACATCTTGCATAAAATAGCAGCGACTGCAGAGACGCTAAATTGAAACCCGGCGGATGCCTGAAGCACAGCTTCGGTACCTCGCCACCAGGCGGCACTTATATTCCGCTCACGCGCTGGGTCCTGGGACCTGGACGAATGAACCCTTCGTTTATTATCAAATACTGCTCTGTCCAGATGACAGTGCATCATGGTCCCGCTTAAATAGATTTCAATACATCCAAGCAAAGTTTGATCAGGCCATTGTAAGACAGTGTGATGCTTTGTGACGCCAGATAACCTAGTTAAAAACTCTCCCCGATGTCGATTCTCTACCTCCGAATGCTGACGCGTCTCCCCCGCGTGGCAGAGTGTCGCCGCCTGCTGTCCAAGGTGCTGGAGCCGCAGCCGGCCCGGCGCCTGACGCTCAGACATGTGGCCGTCCACCCATGGCTGACGCACAAGGGCCTGTCGCCGCTGGCGGGGTACCAGCACCCGCGCGTCAGCAGCCGGCAGCACGCAGCCGTGAGTACCGCTGCGGAGGGATGGCTGCGTGTCACGTTAACCCTATTAGTGGCAGGCTCCTGGCTACCCCATATTAGTGGCAGGGGGGGGGGGCTGTTTACGACCCCCCCTTGATATCTCGAGATCTAACCGGCCGATTTTCAAAATTCAAACGGCATTCGATTTGGCTCAACGAGATCTACATTTCTAAAAAAAAAATTAAAAAATGTCAATAGGGGGGTAGAGGGGGGTAAAAACGGGCAAATTGCAGATACATTTTAGACTGTTTATCACGGCCAGGTTTCTGAACCAATCTTAACGCAACTTTTGCCGATCGATAGAGAATGAACCAGGAATTCACATGGATCCTAAAAATATGCATTTTCAAAAATCATAGGCGGATACAGATCATTGAGATTGGGGGTACACAAAAAGTATAGTAAATAAGGTTTTTGTTGGTACTGTTTCTAAAAAGGGTGGCAATGGTCTTGTTATGTTACAATTTTCTTATGAGAGAACGACTAAAATTGTATTGGTCATGCATAGGCGGTGTCAGGGCACCTATGTTGGGAGGTAAAAAATAACCCCCCTTTTTGGACGCCTGGATCCGCCTACTATAGCAAAAACGTGTCAAAAGAGGATGCACAATAACTTTGCATATGTTATCACATGATACCTTTCATTCACTGTTCGTAAAACTGGTGCAGCATCGTGATCTTCGCCCAAATGACTCGCTTTACGAATAGGACCCCCCAATTCCCAGTGCTCTGGAGCCGCCCCTGGTAAAGTTATGAACTTGAAATTTTCAGGGAATGTGCCCAATTTAGTTTTAGGAAAAGTCAGAAAATTTCAGCATCGTAGCTTCAGCGGTTTCTGAGATATTCCCGAAAAACCTGAGGGGTGGATAAAAACAACCCCCCCCCTGCCACTAATAGGGTTAAACCTTAACCGGATAACATAACTATTATCATCATAACTGTTATCGAAGCATATCATTATCATGTAGTCTTCATATAACATCTTAATTGGTTTCAATCCTTAATTACTATACATAACCTTTGTGTGCCACCGTAGTCAAGCTCGTTATTAATTCTGTAGAAACTCGTTCTGAGCAGCCAACCCTAGGGTCCCCTATTTTGGCTGCGCGCCTAAACCCACCCTTTAACCCGCGCCCGGCTGGGCCGGTCCTGGATTTCCACGCCCTGCTGGGGGGGGGGAGGGTGTTTGAACACCCCCCCCCCTTCTAACTCGGCTCCTGGACCACGTAGCGATACGCGGAAGGCGGCGTTCGAAAGAGCGTAAAAAATAATGACGAAATTACTTCGGTCAATTTTTTGGTCAGGTCAAAGGTCAGGTCACCAGAGGTCATTGAAGGCAAATTTCGCCGATTTCCAGGTCGAATGTCGAAGATTTCCAAGAAGCCAACGCATAACTCGGAAACCAATAGAGCTACAGCGCCGCGGAAAAGAGCATTCGATAGCCCTATTAACGCCCTTTCTGAGTAATCCTCTCAGATTTGACCTAACGTCAACGGTTTTGCCTGCAGGGGGCAAAAACTGCAAAAACAGCCGATTTTTTCGTAAACAGTTTTTCTGCAATAACTTTTGACCCAAGCCTTATACGAGCTTACTTTTACCGGCATCGTGTTCCTCTCGTCAAGACGCATCGAATGAACTATAACTTGACCTTGAAAGGTCAACTTGAAAATTTGACCTCAGGTAAAGGTCATGACCTGACCGGAAAGGGTCATGTTGCATATCAGTCTATCCGTATCGTCGAGCTGAACACATCTAAGGCGTTTTCATCGCTCTAGCATGCCTATATCAAAAGTTATTTGCGAAAAACTGTTAGATACCATTGGTGACCTAAGATGACCTCAGGGCATAAACAGGGGTCACGGACACCATTTTCATGTTCAGTGTGTCTAAGCCACTTGTAGTTCAGCGTTTTGGAGTGTTTATAATGTCTTTCGTCCAAAAGAGGCGCATTTCAATTTTCTCCCATTGACTTATAATGGGGAGGTCGCAAAATTGACCTGACCTTAGGTCATCGATATCAAAATTCTGAGATATACATTTTGTACATGCTATTGCTCTTAGCAATCGCTGGAAGTTTCAAAGCGATCGGTCATTCGGTGTAGCTATGACAGATATTGAAACGTTTTATGAGGTGAGGTCACTTCAAGTGACCTGGTGACCTGACCTTGAATGACCTTGGTCTGATATTTTCACAACATGTGTAGAATTGATGTATGATAAGGTGTGCGCCGCCGTTTTTGGGATATTCGCGAAAAACCACAAGGGGGGGTGTTGGGGGTGTTCAAACACCCCCCCCCCCCGGCAGCGGGGCGCGGGTTAATGCGGGCGGCCAGAATCTGTCCCAGGTCGCGGCTGGGATAGTACTGCCGCTGCTGTCCGTATCGTGATGTGTCGGGTCGTGACGCGCGTCACTGAGACGGTGGCGTGACGCAGTGACCCCGTTGGCCGTCACGCGCCTTAGTCGCCGAGACTGGCGGCGCCACACGGAGAGACACTCAGCCTGCGGGGGTGGAGGGAGGGAGGGAAAGGGGGCGGCTCAGGGCACCGGCGGGACGGCCGGCGGCCCACCACTCAAAGATGGCGTGTTGGGAATACGAGTCGTGCAGAAACTCGGTGGTATAACGCATCGTGAAAGCTGATAGGTAAAATCATTTCGTTCATCAAAAAATATTTACAAATTCTTGCGTAAATTTATTTCGAGGACAAACAGTTCAGCTTGACAGAATTGCTTATGCAAATTATCGATGGAACTTACTTTCAGATTTATATGGTGTCTCTATCTTTTCTTCTTCTTGTCACACCTACAGCAAGTAAGATTATTTTAACCACGATTTTAACTATTTCTGTTTTGGTTTGACAGCTCGACTGGACACCTCTCTTCTCGTTACAACTTAGAAAAAGCTGCACTCAGGGGATGCATATTAGCTGTCACACGGCCATAAACCGATATATTAGTTGTAAACTTGAACATCGAACGTAATAAACGACCCCTTTGTGTTTCCGCTGAGGCAATTACAACCCAATCACAGTTCTGTCCTACCGCTGTGTTTGTGCTGTCCTGGGACAAACAACTTCAGACCTGACGAGTCCCGACAGCACCATGCGTGACGGACTTATAGCACCCCAGTCCCGACCCAACACGCACCATCACGCGCACGCAGACCTAAACTATACCTAGTACCATCCTGTACACCAAGTTTTTCCTTCTTTATGTCTGCCAGGGTCCACGCGTACCTATTATTGGAGAGGAGTTAACTTCGCGAAGCGGTGCTTGTTTTATATTATTGAGTTGGATGGGCATTGGGCGTCGGGCTAGCAGTAAATGTTAAACCATTTCCAACCACCACCATCTTCGTTACTAACGAAGATGGTGGTGGTTGGAAATGGTTTAACCCTCGCCCATGTAGGGGGGGGGGTTGGTGCAACCCCCCCCCCCCCCCTGAGGCTTTTCGGAAATAGTGCAAAAACGGCGGCGCGCAGCGCCGCCAAATTTTGGGTACCTTATGGGGCAAACCTTGCGCATCTTTTGATAAAAAAATGGACTGGGTCATGTCAGGTCACGGAGTTATGACGTCACAAAGGGAACAGCCTCCGGCCGGATTTTCACAAACTGAGTGCCAACGCCCGAGGTTTCCTGCCGATGGTACGGACATCGGTTGATGGATCGTGATGAAACTTCCCATGCGTGTTGGGGCAAGTATTGGCTATCATATGGTATAAGAAACTTGACCGGGTCAGGTCAGGTCACGGAGCTATGACGTCACAAGAGGAACAGCGTCCGGTACTATTTTTGAAAAGCGCCCGAACCACTATTCTGCTAATTCTTGTCACCTCAATGGGAATATGCAGCAATATTAGCTTATATAGGGAGCAAATGGACCTCCCAAATCCAAAAATACAATCATATTTCAAAAATTTAAATTTTGATTTTTCGAATTTCTGCCGCCGACTGTGACCTTGCCGACTTCCGGCGCTCCCAACGCGCCATTTTTAGAGCTAGGGAAACGAAATACATACCAAACGATAGAGAATTGATCAAGGAACACGATAGTGAAGGTTTCAAGTCGATATCTCCAACCGTTTTGCCGCAATCGCCGCCGAAAGTTGAAAAAAAGTCTATTTTTCCGAAAATTTGACCTTTGACCGGTCAAAAGTAGGTCAAATGTTGACCTAGGACCAAAAAATATACCACCAATCGCGAGATCTCGGCGAGAGCAATCCGTTGGTCTTTTCCGCTAAGCTCTACGACGCTCCGTTTTCAAACGCCAAGGGGGGGTCGCACCAACCCCCCCCCCCCCCTGCATGGGCGAAGGTGGCAGATCGCCGTTTACGGGCGAGGGTTAACATTTACTGCTAGCCCGACGCCCAATGCCCATCCAACTCAATAATATAAAAATTGTTAGTATGAACAACAACTATGTTCCTCATTTAGAAGCGAAATCAATGATGATTATAGATTGTACGAAATGGATCAAAAGTGGAAAAAGTTACCCCGGCCGCGCCGGGGTCGGCTGAAAGTTACCCCGGCCACGGCCGGGGTGGCCGGGGCAGGTTCTCCACCCATGAAATGGATCATAGTTAGTCTTTGTTTGAATTCTTAGGTCATTTGGATCTCTAAGAGCTCTTACACTTTATCCTGTCTACCACTAACTGGGAACAGTGGAAGGCATTTCTTTGAAGCCGCGGTGCGATGGCGTGTCGCAACTAAAACGACTTCCACGGATGCTCTAAGCCGTTAACCCGCGACCTGGTGGGGGGGCTATTTTTTGCCCCCCCCCCCCCTCCAGACTTTTCGCAATATCCTCAGAACCGCTGCGCCGATCGTCACCAAACTTTCAGTACCCTCCCGGACATCAATTTTACACATTGTGACCAAAAAAAAAAATCCAAAGGCTGTGATAGGTTGGCCGGAAATGACGTCAGAGTGACGACATGTTCTGCCGTTTTCGACCCAAAAAAGGGTTTCGCGGGAAGAGCTGTCAG